ATTGCACTTAGACATTACATAAAGAGAAGAACTATGATAAAAGCAGTACAAAAGATGTTTTAAAAACTAATCTGTTAAACAAACCAAATTGCTTGACACATTGTCAGAGGAAAGTAAGATTGTCAGAGGAAAGTTTGGGCACATGCTAAGTAATCTGACTAACCTTTTTACTGAAGATATCTTAGTCCAATTTTCTAAAGGATGAAAAAAACCCTTACTGATGCAGAAAATGGTCTTATGCAGAGTTTCTGTCTAGAATAAATTTATTTATTCTGGATGCAATTGAGTGCAAAAAACCCAGGCAATTTTGGTAAGGTTTGGGACAGGAAGGGAGGTGATATTCGACATTTTGCTATACATCATGAATCTCTTGGAGAGCACAGTGACAACCTGTAAGTTTCTTCAATGGCCATAGGGGTGTGAAAAATTCACTTCCCATGAAACCCAATTTCAATTTCAATTTCAATTTCAATTTCAATTTCAATTTCAACTCTAAAACATGCTGAGGATCTTGAAAATCTCTGTGCAGTGCAGAACAAAACCTGAATGCCTTATAAAATGGAAGATATAAATGTGTAAGGTCTTAACTGATTGAGTGGGTCAAACTTTTACAACAGTTTTGCTTCCACCAAGACAGGGATTTGATCATATGTTCAAGTAATTAGGGCCAATTAACTCATTGCTCTCATCCCACAAGATGAGCTCCTATTCAAAAATTTCAGAAGCATAATGAAGCTTTATGGCAAAGGGAGCTATAACACCTGCAGTTTCTTCACAGGTTAGAAAAAAACTGTTTTCTTTTCTCTTTTATGTCTTAATTGTCACTTATCACTAGCACTGTGTGAAAATGTATCATAGAGGCTGAAAATGCTCATAAGATTGAAAATTTAACCTATTCAAGCCCTTAAGAAATAAAATAAGTTTACACTTTTATATAAATGACACTGCAATTCAAGGTACTTGCCAGCAATTCTGTTATCATTAACCATACAAAGAAAATTCAGAATTATTTGCTATTCAGAATTTCCTATTAAATTGCACAGGAAATATTGGTTTGATGTTTATGCATTAATAAATGATGAGTTTAAAGTATGCCTACCTATTCCTAAGTTTCCTCAAGATTCATTTCCTGTAGGAAATATTAACTTTTTTCTTTTTCAAACACATATTCTCATGGGCAATTTAAAACAGAATAAATCTCTTTCTCTAAACATTTTTTTTCAGTAAAAGTATTTTTTTTTGCCACAGAAAAAAGTTTTTTTAACCATCCCTCATCAACTTACAGTCAACAAGAGCCATATGTGCACATTGAGAACACATACGACAGAGGAAAACAAACCTAAGACGTAAAAGAGGCCTAGGACAGGAAATTAGAAAGCACTGAGAAAATGGAATGAAAGGGAAGGAGATATTTTGGGAAAAAAATAAAAAAGCATGTTGTCTGGTCTTACTTCTTGTACGCAACTTCTTGTGGTTTGTCCCACGAAATATACCGGTATATTACTAAGCTTTTAATATATTACCACTAACATAAAAAAAAAAAATCAAGATAGTATTGGAGTTTATTTTTGCTTTAGAGTTGTAGTTGCAGATATGCAGACAAGAATTTCCACAAAAATAATCACATAATTAGATATTAGTCTGTATTTTCGACAGTCTATGATTAAATGAGACTATGAAGGCTTTGATCCAGCATGAAAGTCATACTTTTCAATACATAATATTGTAGAAGAGGGTTCTTTCTCCTTATGCATTACATTTTAATCTATTACATTGATAGACTATGTAGTTGTCCTCCTGAATTAAAAATCTGTGACAAAAAATAGAATTATAGTGTGTGATCTACCCCTTATATCATCTGCAATACATGTTCTTTTGTTAATAAATTTCTGCTGAGCTGCTGTCAGTACCACTCTCAAAATTAATTTCTAGAAGGTTCTTCTACCTGGCTGAAGATTAACCTGTAACTGCTACAGATGACAGATGACAGCTATCACCCGTAAGTAACAAAATCGGCCTTGGATTATAACAAGTAGATTTTCTTTCTCACACAAAAGAGAAAATAACCTGATTATTGTAAAAGTGATAGAGATTTGACCAACAGCTAGAGGAAGAGAATGAAAGTTAAATCTCCTGGGTTCTGATCCCTCTCTTTTTCTCATTACTTTTGGACAATTTTTGTAGGAATGCACCAGAAAAGGAAACAGCATTGGCATTGTCATGCTTAAAATGCCCTGTTGCCTTTAGCTCTGAGTTAAATTCTCCCTACGTGCAGCATCTGAGGAAAGTTAGGAGTCTAAGAACGATTAGCTGGCTGCACAAAACCATAGATTATAGGTTTTCTCCACTGACAATCGGAAAGCAAAAGAAACTCGGGAGGAATTTGGGGATCAGCCGCCCAAAATACAGGGTGCTGGCATCTGGGCTAGAGGGAGATGGCAGGGAACTCAGATTTCTTCCTGTGCTGGGTGCCCAAACTGGATTTACTTTTCCTGAGCAAGTGGTCCTGGTGTCTCAGGAAAGGGAAGGCTCTGGTCTTCTTTCCTTGAAAGAGCAGAAGCCCCCTTTCAATTGCTAAATGAGCCAGGTGCTGGTTTGTGGTGGGGACCGCCATCAGACCCCGCTCGTGTTTTCTGTGAGGTGTGTCCCGGCTGAGCTGACCAGCAGGGAGAGTCTGGAAGACGCATCCATATATTTTTCTGGTGATTTAGATTCTGAAATTCTTGCCTTTTCAGGGCCTGTGTAATTGCAAGCATATCCAAAAGCTCTCCCTGGAAGTTTGAGTTTTTAGAGAATATCCTGACCAGGGTGAAGCAGCAGTTGCAAAGGTGTTTTGAAAGGCTTAAATTTTGTACCAGAATCCCCACTACAGCGTTCAGCCTTAAATGCCTCTTTTCCCAGGAATACTCTTTGTTCAGTAACCAAGCTTTCTGCTTTCCTGTTCCTTCTGATCCTGGTGATAATGTACCACATATGAAGTTTAGGAAGGATTATAATTTCTTTTTCAGGTATCTAGTGAGGATTTCCGATTCAGCATTTTTGTTGGCTTATACTGCTGGAAAAAAAGATCACTAACTAGAAAAGCAGCCAAAACTAATACCTCTGCAAATGCCTCAGTGTTCAGGAAGCAAATTTACCTAATTTTTAGGTCCCAATTGTTCTAAGTGAGCCAATAATCAGAAATTAATAAACAGCTAACTCATTCCTAGCAGAGACTAAATGGGGATCTAAACAAGGAAACCTAAAACGAAATGTTGTCATGGTGATACAGAGAAGACTAAGCAAGCAGTGCAAATCTCCTCTTCCTAGGAGACCTGAGAGACTAGCTCAAATTTTTATCTGTCATGGTTAATTTATCATTTCACTGAAACAGTTGTCAACATGCAAAGTATGTAGAAGGCTTGCTTCAGGTATCTTTTGTTTTCTGAGGGCACAACAGACTTTGTTTCCAAATCACAATTTCAGATCCAGCCTTACTATAAGAGGAAAAAATGTATTTGGGGGAGTTTTTGATATTTTTATCTTTTTACTATTCATAAGGGCAATTAAATATTGAGATAACCTCCTCTTAAGTGTGCCATCATGAGGCCACATACTGTGGTGTGTCTGACATACTGATTTCTCCAAGAAAGGAAGCAAGGAAAGCAGACCCTTGCAAAATTTATGTGTACACACTGTTAGATTAAAAAGCTGGTGGTCACAGAACTTAGGTGTTGTCAGTCTCAGAGCTACTGCTTGTATGAAGGGGAAAATAAGGACTCACTATCAGCATGTGACTTAATAGACATCAGTTAATTAAGTATTGGTTTTAACGCAATTTAAGCCTTAAAAAAATATTTATTTTCAGTGTTCCATACACTAATTTATCTATTAAAAACAAGCCATTGGATTTCAGTGTTTGTTAGGTTAAGCTCTTGCTCTATGTTCAAATGCCAGACCAGGCAGAACACCCGTTTATTTGCATCTGTATCTCTTATGAAACAATAAAAAGCGTTCAGAAAAATGGCTAGAAATTAGTTCTATTCAATTAACTGGATCTACAGAAAAAATATCTTTAAATAAATGAGTCACACTATCTTGATTTATGGCTTCCTTTTAAACTTAGGTAGAATGCCTGCTACAAGACTAAAGCTATGGAAGATATCACTACTTTGATATAAATTGAGATGCCACAAGTAGTTCAGCAAGAACCTGGTTTGCTCACCTTTACAAACAGTCTAAAAAAACCACAGTAATGACAGTGAAGTGCAGACACATCTCCCGATTGTTCTTTGATCTCTTAAACCAGCAGGATGCTGCATGAGGGTGGGGAGTGTCAAGCCCAGGCACGCAGAGCAGCCTCTGGGAGGTAAAGTGAACAAAGTGGATCCGGGAACCTCGCTTTGCAAGAGATTCTACACCTCTCCATAATTATCTCCACATGGGAGCTGGCTGTGGCGATTAGGCAGGCTGGAATCACAGGATATGAATGGTGAATAGAAATAGGAAGGGCCTTAGAAGTTTCTGTCATGATACTTCACTTGAGAAACGTTGATGTTAAATGAATGTGTTAGAAGGAAAATGTCCCCAGTCATGCTATGCCAGAGCTCCCCTGGCGTGGGGTTTAGGTGGCATCTCTAATAAGAGTGGAATGCATTTTTGTTGGCTTTTCTAATATTTGAATTTATTTCTCATAGAAAATCACTACAGTTGTATGACTTGTGGCTTCCTGTTGTTTTTTCTCTTGAGCCTTTATTAGTTTTAAAGTTCATGAATTATTAAATGCATCTTTTATATAAATATAATTAAAAGGTGTTACTGTGTTTTTCCCAGTGACAGTCATAGTTAAAAAAACCCCCACCTTACTGCTTTATTTTGAAAGTTGTATAAATGCCTGGGGAAAATAGTCATTGACTATTAATGTCTCAGGAAGCCAAAATTCATGCCTGCATCAAAAGGAAGCTCTACAAACTGACCACCCCTATAATGTACCATTACATGGAAGAAAGCTGCATATTTACCCCTTTTATGTAGAAGAATACTGGCATGTCGGCGTCCATTTCCATTCTCAACATAGCATGAGTAATTCCCCAGGTCTGCCTCTTCCACAGAGTCAAGAATCAATGAGATGGAAACCTCCTGTTCCCCAAGATGCTCCTTGAGAACCCTGAGGATAAAGCAACCATCACTGCTGTTCTGCTTGTATCATAGCAGGGCATTAGATAATCATGACATAATAACGCTACTTACAATTCACAACATTGGCTTCAAATTTGGCTATGGTTTGATGAAATCTTAATTAAATTATAACATGCCCTTTTCTTCCTCAGTTCTAATGAGGAGGTTTGGCTTTGTAAATGTTAATGAGGGCTTCATTTACTTGTCTTCTTTAAGCAGGATGATGTGCACATTGATAATATATTACTGCACACTCTGATGGAGACCCTGATCGTGGTATGTGAAGCCTTGAAATTGTAGAAGAGAGAAGAGTGAAAACAGTTGTTTTGAGGTTTAGGGTCACACTTGGATTCTGGGCCAAAACCATATTTGTGCACTTTCTGAGGTTCTTGACATATCACTCAGAAAATGTGTGCTCATGTCAGTGTTCGAAAAAATACTTCTTTAACGTATTATAAAATTTGACTGTGTATTATAAATCAGTAGAATTAACTGCCATACTAGATATTGCTTGTTCACATAGATGATAAAAAAAAGACCTCCTGCATAAGGCAATACCTGTCTTTACATTGCTTTCTTTACCTTTTCATGTGCCCATCAGTGGTTTTTGAAACCCAGCAAACTGCTCTGGGCTGCTCCCTCAGGTCACATCTGATGAAAGAAGTGGAAAACAGCCTTCCTGCTCCTCCCTTCACAGAACAAGAAATTTGTAACAAGTTTCTTGTCACCTTTTTAATTGGTCTTTAGATGTCAAGTCTTGGGTTCAAGGGCTTAGGAAAAGCTTTAGACAGGAAATACAGCTGATCTGGTGGCCATGTGCTGGTTAGTGTATTGGTCTTGAAGTACACTGGGGTGAAATATGCTTCCAATTTGCCTATATTGGGGGACATGGAGATGACATTGAATGTGGCATTCTTGATTTTGGTAAAGTAACTGTCTGTTACTTCGGTTACACTGAAGAAGTCCAAGGTTAATAAAAAAATGAGTGTGACTTTACGTCTTTTGATGAGATAGTAAATTCCAATGTAAGAGGACAGTGTAAATTATTTACACTCATTTTGTTCTGTTGTGGACAATCACTGTAGATAGCACATCTGTAATTATTTAGCTTAGTTTGTAGCACACATTTATATTTGCCTTAATTTCTGGGTTTATCCATGATACACAGGCACAGTGATATACAGATATATAGAATTAAAAAGGAATCTCTTCAGATCCAAGTAGATAGGTCATAATGGGTAGAAACTGATATGCTATGTCAAACATGTAATTCTCAATACAAACCCACTTTTTTCTTAATTTTCAAATGACGCAGCACTTCTAGGAGCAGTAAAAGTACATGACATGAATTGCCATATCCTCTCTAAAACGTGTATTTCAGCAGATACAAGCAGCCCACATAACAGAATGCTTGGCTCTCACAGGCCAAATAATATCCCAGGAAACAAATCTTTTCCCTTGAAGAAAAGAAACCAAAACTTTCCAAAAGAGAGGCCAACTTCAGCATTTATTTATCTGGTTATTTATCATCTCCCTCTTTTAAAAGATTTCTTTTGAGCTTTATTCACTTATTTTTCTTTCTTTCATCTTAATAACTGTCTTAATAGTTATTATTGTAGATTGCCATAGTTTGAAAAAGTCACTCCGCAAATTCCCATCAGATAACACAATGGTATTTGTCAGGCAGGTATCCCGCTTTTGCAGTTCTCTAACATCACACCTGGCCAAGGTGTGCATTTTTCTGTTATCTACTGGTGGAGCTGAAAAGGTAAAGAATGGATGTTGCAAAAAACAGGGATCAGACTCAAAGTGTTCCTGAGTTAGTCTGTGATAACAAGTGTTACATTAACTATAAAAAAAAAGTTGACTGAAAAAACAAAATGCTTTTTCTTTTACCTGATGTCACTTTCCCAGACTCGACTATCATCCAAATCTTCAATAAACTTCTCCCCTTTCATCCAGTAGATTAAAGGACTGACATCTCCACTATATCCAAAGAAAGCTCGGCAGGTTAGATTAGCAGAACCGCCTGTTACAAAGAATGTAAAAATATACGTTATTTCAAAATTTGTAAAAAGTGTTTCATTTTTTTATCAGTTGCTTTTGTCAATTTTTTTTTAAAAAAATTATATCTGTAGAGACCCTCAATTTCCAGCTGCAGCTGAAAATGTCCAGAAGTATCTACTTGTCTTGTCACTAGTGTTCAATATATTTTCTGAAAAGGAATACAATAAACATAAAATTAAATAAGAACAGGATTCAATTTTATATTCTTACACTAAGTTTTGTCTGGAAAGGAAATGAAAGACTTTCTTTTTTCAAAAAGAGCTAACTTAACTAAAGATTTCCATGTTTTCTCTAAAAACAGGTAAAGGTTATGTAAAATAGACGTACAGTCACATCTCTCTTAGTTCAGTTTTGCAATATTTTCTGCAAAGAAGCCGGTAGATTCCTGTAGGATACTATTCCAAGGGACAGCCATTAAAAAGATGTGTGCACATTGCTAAATTATCTTAGCAGATAAGTGTTAAACACTGAAACTTGAAACAAAAAACCCACATGCAAACTCATTCTGTGCATTATGGGACATGTCTCACCGTATGAGTGACAATAACCACTAGATATATGTAGCAAGGAGCAGAATTTCTATACGTGCCTCATTATTTATTTAATCATTATAATGAAAACTAAAATGTAGTATGCCTTCACTTTAGTTCATTTTTACTGTGTAGTCTCACATTGTGTTAGTAGCGCTTTGGGGTGTCAGCTAGAGCATGTACAGGGATCAAAAAGGTACTTTGCATGCGTTTTATGTGTTGGTAAGATGGGCTAAAAGTAGAAGACAGCCACATAGCTGAAGATCTCCCATTCACTGATGTAAAGATGCTTGTCTCAACATATACCAACTCTTTTGAACTTCTGTGTGCATTTCTTTAGTGGATAATTACACAGTGATTTAAGGAACTGCTGTGATTCAAGGAATGTGTTTTTTCACCCCTGAGGAGAGTATTTTCGTGGAGTTTATACTACTGCTGAGACCAAACTCATATTTTATTTATAGTTTCAATTTTTGATCTTAGGATTTTAAAGCTAACTGACCACAGCTCCTGGGAAAATAAAACCCAAATAGATGCACTGTTAATACTACTTCATTCTGCATCGAGATGCCATGAGAAGTCCATCTGGGTTCAATGAATTTCCTTAAAAATACACTGGTCCGTTTCAAACTATGACATTAATATTTGAACATTTTGTTTACTCTTCAGTGTGGAAACAAATGTAGGATGCTGTATAACAAGAAGATGAGTAATTATTAAATAAATGTCTCATTTATCTGAAATGATTTGTGGTTTTCTGAAAAAGCATCTGACTCCTCTATCTGGTTAGAACTCACATCCACGCCATAAAAGGTCCAGAATCAAATATTTGTAATCAAAATGTGGAACACCAAGGCAAGTACCATCTATGTTGCTTTCACAAGCTGTTTAGGAACTGAGTTGCTTTTAGTCATTTCCTATGCTTTTCGTTGGTGCCACAACCTTTGCCAGCAATGCCTGCTAGGGAGACAGGAGTATCCCAGTACTCAGAACCCGGTGGAGAGGAGGGTCTCATTCATAATCAACAAGTATGAAACTGAATCTCTCACTAATGAGACATTTTGATAATCTCATCTCATTTAAAGCAAAGTTAACTGAAGGTCTTCAATGAGAGAGAAATTTCTAAAGACAGCCACAGCTCCTATATCCACAACATAGGGAGCAGTGGTCAGAACACCTTTCCTGGAAACGCACCTCCTCAACCTCTACACAGCTCAAGAAGCGCCATTTGGAAGCACTGGAGAGAAAGATTTTTGCAATCTTGAAGCCATTTGCAGGGAATGAGATCAGAATTGGGACACCACTTAATGTGGGTCAAGTGTGTGAAAACCTGTAATGGAACGCGATAAACTTTTAATATATTTATTTATTTAATTTTGCATCATAATTACGATACACGAACATGTGAAGATGAAAGTACAAAACCTGGAAGTATTATGAATATCTTGGCCATGGTTACCCAGTCTAGCATGTGTCCAGGGCTGTAAAATGCCTAGTAACCGTGGCACTGGCAGACTGATTGCTCATGAAGCATGAGAAAGTACCTGCACATCTAAAGCAAAGGCAGGCTCCTGTGATAATTTGATAACCCCTATGGCATTTTCTAGCAGTCTTAGAGGGAAGAGTGCTACCTAATCCATCACTGCCACTTCTTGGGCTTTTTCTGGAGCTTTCCCACCAAGTCAAGGCCTGGTTGAAACTTTTTAGCTTTTAAGAGCTGGTGAGAGCACAGCTGGAAGGACTGTAGCTTCTGGCCAACTTATTCATGATTCATAGAGATTAGGCACCACAGGTGCTGAACCATCAAAGTTCTCCAGGCTCCTGCAGCTAACAGGCACCCACTGAGAGCTGATTTTTGCACTGTGCAGGCCTCTGAGCCTTTTACAGGTGAATATTAATGCATATGGTTTTATTTTTTAAAAATCTTTTGTTAGGAGCAAAAAAATGTCAGAAGGAAAAAATTTGTAAGATTAAGGCTTTTTTCTTCATGAAATTCATAAAGAAATTTCCCCTCTAAATAAAATATGTAAGCATATTTTTTAAACACAGAATCCAAAGTTTCCACTCATCATGAAATATTTACACCTAAGAAATAGATTAGGAAGGATATAATACCTCTTAGTACTACGGTGTTGATTACAGTTGCTGAGCACAAGCTATTAGTGTGCTGGGTGTTCAGCTATAAATTACCTATACTGTCTACCTTGAGAAATCTTTACAATAAGCCAGTGGGAAGTTCATTATCAGGTCATCAAGAAAGATTCAGTGACCAGCTAACGACCAGCTGTGACCATTAACAGAGGACTCCAGGGTTCATAGCTCTTTGCAAAGGGTGGTGGAGCTCACTTGGCGGAGCAGAGATGCTCACAGCTGCAGGCACATGTAAATAATGGGCAAAGGCTGACTGAAGGGCAATGTTATGAGTGGACAGAGTATTTCAGGAGCATATCTTGATCTCTTCTCTAGAGCTGCCCTAGTGTGAGTGAGCATGTGATCTAGGATGTGCTGCTATTTTCCCTAGAAGTGTACCTTTGAACTGAGTGGCCAGAGGACGCCGAGTCTGGCACCCAGAAAGGCTGCCTTGTATAGGCAGTCTGTTTTTAAGAAGTCTTCAGATTTTTAGAAAGCATGCAGAAATTAAGTAAATAAACACAAGAGCTGCTTTGCTTTATATTTAAGCTAATGTATAAAACAGCCTGTCAGCCCACTAGTAGAAATCACTTACAGTTAACCATACAGAACTATTCCTCTCTGTGTGTTTCCTGCCCTGAGAAAAAAAACTATAGAAGTGATTAGAAAACTGTAAAAGTTTGATGAATGGATACATAATGCTTTCTATGCTATCGATTTAAATTTTCCTGTAAATGCTGGATTACTACAGTTTTAGAGTCTGTCTTTGAAGGAATATAAACACATGTTTCAAATTAACTACTATGGAAACCTGTCCCTCTCTCTCCCTGTTGCATTTGCTGTGAAATGCTGTAAATCTTCAGAATGTTCTGACCTAAGTTATGTCCTGGGTAAACTGCTTTTTTTTAATGGACCCTGGAAAAGTCCAAAGGCATGATATTAGAATTATGTGAAACATAGTGTCGGGGTTTGTATTAACATTTCTCACCAAAAACCACCCATACCAAAACCAAAACAACAAAACACCCTTCAGAGAAGAAATAATTTTATTACTGTGAAAAAAAAGCAATAAAGATATGTCAGAGAACACCTAAACAGTAAGCTTCAACCGCATATTTACCCATTGCACTCATTTCTGGAGATGGATATGCTCTTACTGTATTGAGTCGATTTTTGTAAAAACTGGCATATGTATCACTACATGTTCGTGCTCCTCACTATGATAAAGTTGCACTGTGAACTCCAGTGAGCTGGGTTCAAGTGAAATTAATTAAAAGTGCTCTGCCACCTAAACTGAGAACAGTTTTTGTTATACAGTATATTTTCAAGTAGAACAGAATACAAGGAGGGACCACAACAGCGTACTTCCTTGAAACCAACGGTTCCCTTTCACCAAGCAACACACTATTTTCGTGTCCATTTTCCCTAACTGGCAACAGTTGGAGCACTTTACAAACTACTGCTATGGGAGCCTATGTCCAGGAGAGGGCACTGTCTAACTTTGAAACAAAAAAAAAAAAAAAAAAAGAAAAGATATAAACTCTAATTAAAATCATCAGCCTGCTAAGAACCTACTAGTTGTAATTGGCAAATATGAATGTTTTGTGGTTAGTGAAATGCATCTTATATGGGCAGTCTAAATTACACTTGCACCATTCGTTAGCAGATATCGTGATGGCACCCATCTTTGATTTGACAGATTCTTCAGCGAAGGACAATCATTTTTGTTGGAAGTAATGATAAGTGTCAGACATCTGCAACCTCCTTTTAGAAGAGTTCTCATGTTATGGAACTGAAGTGCTTGAGGGCTGTGTTCAGCATCTAGAGATGTTGAGGTCCATAAGAGTGGAAATGTTAATTGTACTGAAATTTGGGAGTTTCTTTTACTATACAATGCAAACCATTTATAAAACTTATGCAGAGGCAATACTTACAGACATACAAATACGCCATTTATGTATAATGTTAATACTTCTAAATGAAACTATAAAAGGCCAAGCCAAACGCAATCAAAATCTCTCACATATTAATTAAATGCTATTCTTTCTGTTTCCTTTACAGAAAAAAGAGTACTGACAAAATACTAGTCTTCAAAGTGGAGAGATATAAAAGCTGTTAATTTCCTAGGCGTGACAGGTGGCAATTTCTCACAAAGTCAATAACCCACTTGTTTTGCCAATGTCATCTGCCAAGTCCAGCAGGCAGGTAGGTAGAAGCTGCTCACGTTTTCAGAGAAGTCTCTCATCCAGAAACAGTTCAACAATTCTTGAAAGCCTTCTTGTAAACATGATTAAGAAAGAAA